TCGCTGACCTGCAATCAATAGGTGTGTGTATCAGCATGAACATGCATGCGTACCAACGCGTTTTTTATTTATTTATTTTTTTTTTACGTTTTTCCATTTGATTTCGATATCAAACTTGTCAGCGTACCTTTCACGCAAGTTCGTTTTTGCGAGAAAGAAATAATAGATCGTGAGCTTTTAACACTTTTAATAGCAAAAGACAAGAACAGAGTATATTGGAGATATATTATAAATTGGTGAGCGTGCAACTGCAGCTGAAGCATTGCAAATCGATGATTATTTCCCGCCAAAACCTGGAGAGAAAACAATATTGATATTAATAATATTATAATGCAATATTGATAACATATAAAGCAAAATAATGGATAAGTACTAGAAAAACAAATACTCACTTATAGGTATTACTAAAAATAAGAGAAAGGAAAAAGTCTTTCGCTTGTTGACAAAACGAAGTGGAAAATTATGTTGAAAAAAAAGAAAAGAAAAACTAAAAACGAAGTGGAAAATTATGTCGACAAAAAGAAAAAGAAAAACTAAAAGCGAAGTGGAATATTATGTCGAAAAAAGAAAAAGAAAAAGAAAAACTAAGCATATTGGAAAATGACTGAACAATTTCGAGAATTGCTTTGGCTTTCTACTCCAGGTTTTCCCAACCAAGGGGTACGAGAAGTGTCCATCTTGAAGACAAGCAATTAATCTATTTATTAATCATAATCAAGAAACGGGAAGAAAAGAGTCATTGAATGGAAAATTCACTTTTTATAAAAGTTTTAAAGTTAGTTCTTTGATTCTTTGTAGATATTTCAATCGAGTGATTATTTTTTGTAGGGTTTATTCAAATAATCTTGGACATGTTTTCTTGTCCATATATTCGATTTCTGTTAACATATTATTAGAACATAAAAAAGAATATTCTCTTTTGTTGATCAAATTTAGCATAAATTCACCTCCTTTATCCTTAAAGTAAAATTAAAAGGGGGCGCGAGGACACAGTAAAATTTTCTTAGGGGTGCGGG